TTTCGTCCTGGAGATGTTCCTGTCGTAACACCAGACATGCTAGCCTTTAACACAGCCATGAGCTCAGTCAGAGTTTCAGTTGAGTGGCTATTTTGCGATGTGGCTGAATCATTCAAGTTCATTGATTTCAAGAAAAACTTAAAACTGCACCTTAGTGCTGTTGGCAAACACTACATAATAAGCTCATTGTTTAGAAACATTCTCACATGCCTTTATGGCAATAAAACTTCAGAATTTTTTGACGTCAATCCTTCAACAATACTCCAATTCCGCGATATTTTGGCGCGCGGGAATGGTAACGAAAAATCGGCATGAAAGCGAGGTCTGGTGCGAAAATGTAAACAAGAAAGGTCAAAATGTCGTTTCAAAAGTTAAATGTTGATGAACTAAGGAACTACTTGAAGGAAAGAGGTATTCCGTTCAGTGATGGGGGGAAAAGGAAGAGGAAAGAGGATCTGGTTCTTCTTTGTATTAATTCAAACAAAATGAAACAGCCAAAAGTTGATATCGGCTACGAGGAGTTTTCGTCTGTGCTGAAAGATAAACTACAAACCACTGATGCTGGGCAGCTTCCCAATCCCGGGAATGTGAAGGTATGGACAAGCAACTTTTCTAATGTACCGGAGTTAACGTTTGGCCAGCTATATAACTACTTTATTGGTAAAGATGATTACACTGAGGAAAGTCTACGTGCTTTCAAGAGTCTCACCGGCTTCAAACTTTACAGAGATGGACACGTCGTGATGTTGCAATATCATGCCATACAAGGCACGAATTACTCTTTTTTTCAAATTTTCAGTCAAGCCAAGCGACAGGAGTAAAACGGAGGAGGGAAAGTCGTCCTACAGTGGATTTATAGTCATGAAGGAAAATGCAGACATACATTCTGCTTATTGTGAGTGCAAAGGAGGAGCCGATGGTCTATGTAAACATGTCGCTGCCGCATTGTTTGATCTTCAAGCAACTGTATGTAATAACTTGGTTACGGCGTGCACTTCTACAAAATGTGAGTGGAAAAGGCGTGTTCGAAATGATGTCTATTCACTTCAGCTTGATGAATTAAATATTATTAAAGCAGAGTTCGGAAAAGATGAAAAAAACTATAAGAAACCAAACAATTTTGATCCTAGATGTACAGATGTTGATGTAAATACAAAACGAGAGAAAATGCGTAAAGGGTTGACGGAACTTTGTCCAGATTCATTGGCATTGATGTTTTTAGAAGAACTCAGCATTCCAGTCACAGATGCAGAAAGTCTTGACAAGCATATGAATGAAGATGTTAACGTTGAACTGATTGAAACAGTTGAAAACATAGCAGTATACAGCACGATAGAATATGCAGACGTTTTCAAGAGTATTGAAAACATAACCTACAAAGAGGGAGAAAGGGTAGATGAAGACACTATTACACAGTTCAAAGATTTCATTCAACTAGACAAAGACCAAGCTGAGATAATATGTCACAAAACGATTCAGCAAGGACAGAGTGACTTCTGGTATAAACAGCGAGCAGGAAGGATTACTGCCTCAAACTTCTACAAAGTCTGCCATTTAAGAGAAACAACAGATACCAAAAGTACTGTAAAACTACTGATGAACTACTGTCCTATGGAGAATGTACCATACCACTTACAATGGGGCCATGAAATGAAAAAGAGGGAGTGGCAGCAACAGCCTATCACAAGCACCTTAGCAGCAAACATAAGGGTAATTATTTATCAATGTAGAAACATTTTATTGTTATTGAAAATTATTTGTCATTATCTTTTTGTCTGATATTTCATATTAATGTATGTAGGCTTGCATTTGATTGAAAGCGGTCTTGTCATCAATGAAAAATGGCCATATCTTGGTGCAAGCCCTGATAGAATACGATTATGTGATTGCCATGGGAAGGTTTTGGTTGAGTGCAAAAGTCTGTATGCAAAGAAGAATCTTCTACCATCAGTAGCTGCATCTGATAAAATATACAAAACTGATGACGGAATAATGAAACTTAAAGAGGAGACATCTTGGTATTACCAGATTCAAGGGCAAATGGCAATTACAGGTATCCGCCTTGCTGATTTAATTATTTATACAAATAAAAAGATATTGATCATTTCTGTTCCTTTCAATCATTATTTTTGGGAAAACAAAATGCTTGGAAAGTTGAAATCATTTTTTGAAAAGTCTCTTGCTCCTGAGCTTCTAAGTAAAAACATTTTGAAAAGTATCAATAAAACAGTTGAGGAATGAATACAAGTTATTTATTTCATAATAAATTATAATTCAATGTTAATCAAAATAACAGATTTAACTTCATGGCCCTTTGGTCACTAATATATTATACATGTAATTGTTCACCTTAAAGAGCATATCAGTGAGAAAAAACTGATGAGGCATTATATGATTGATTCTATTTTAAAATAAAAGCCAATTTAATTTACAAATATTTGTATATAGAGATGTTTTATAGGCACTCTCTTTTCATATTTTCATAGTTGTCAGCTTGAACAGGTCTAATTATATTTTTTCATTTTTGGATCCGATACGTACCTATTTGAGAATATCAGAAAGCACTTTTTGTTTTGTTCTGACAGAAATTTAAAAATGTATTATTTCTTTTCAATAGCTTAATTATTTATGGAATTGTATGTATATATACAGAATTAAATTATAAAAGCTTTTGGGTAATAATTACTAATTCGAATTTATTTGTAAATGTAATTTAATTACTTTACCCACTTTTTGAAAATTATTCAATAAAGTCGAGATCAAATCATTAGTTCTGCATTAGTATTTCAACAATTGATACATACAAATGAGTTTATATTAAAAATATATACATCTATTTACACAAACATTGTCCAAGAAAAAGAACTTTTGCTATTTAGGAATTAATTAAAATACAAAAGAAAGTGTTAGGCTTCAGTGTTCATCGTTTGTCCTTTAAGTTCCTAAATCCCTAAATCTCAGGACAAGTGTTTTGCAATAAGATGTATATATTACAATCAACATTCAACTCAAATCCTATGATTTTTTCCCCAAAATCTATGCAATCATACATGTGCATCTATTATATCATTTAACTAATGGTTTCTGTAGATTGCAAAGAGCTCCACAAACAACTAACATGTGATTGGTCATTGGTACAAGGGTTAATGGTATATTTCCTGGAAATACTTTAAATTCCTTTAGCCTCTCTATAGCCCTTTCCACATGTATGCGCACTTGAGCTATTTTCCTTGTTGATCTTGCTGCTGCTCTTGACAACTGTTTTCCTGTATAGATAATATAATATATGTAGGTAAAACAATGATATGAAATCACAGATCTAGCTATATACACAATGCATCTGATTATTAGTGTATTAATACCATTCCCTGCATTCTAACTCAAAATTTTAATATACAGGTAGAATTTTACATAGTACCTTTCTTTGAAAAAGGTGGGATGTTTAGATAGACTTCTTTCTTTGTTAATATGTCACGGATATTAAATCCCTTATCTGCCATAACAACATCTCCCTTCTCTAGTAAATCTACTAAACCACTCTCCTGTGTGATCTTCCTGTCACTAGTATTGCCAGTCCAGAACTTTGACAAAAAGCTGAAGTAGCCATTTGGTGTGATGCCAACAAGAGTTTTTATGGTGTTATGCTGCTTTATGGTGGCCCATCATTATCACACAAATTTTCTGATAGTATTCTTCTTTTTCACAGCATTCTTCAATATAATTTTAGAATAAATATATTTTTTATTGCGTTTTTAATGTGATTCGATGTTTGTTTTCACTTTTTTCGCTAAACCGTTTTCATTTTCAAATTGTACTCGATTTATTTGTGAACTTCGTTTTTATTTCTAATTTAAAATCTAAAATAAAATATATTTTAATTATTGTTTTCTGCATTGATAATACTGGTCCGTTTGTTTTGATTTTTTTTTTTTCGATTTTGTAAAAAAAATATGATAACGCTGGTCCGTTCGAACGGACCAGCGTTATCACTCGGACAAAAAGACTGGGCGCCACAACAGAAGAGTATCATCAAAATTCAAAATGGCGGAAATTCGTCTCTCGGCACGTGCCAAGTGGCTCAAGTGAATGGCGTTTTCTGCTCATAATAATGACTGGAAAAGTGATCACCACCTTGGACGAGATTTACAGAAATATGTGTCACAAAACCTAAAGAGATCAGAAATTCTTGACTTTGTTAAGCGTGACTATCAGCATTATAACTGGAGTTTGCCAACGCTCGATCGAAGACTTCGTCACTTCAATGTGTACTACATTGAGCATGATACTTCTATTGAAGAAGTTGAAGAAGCTGTTGAAAAGGAACTACAGGGACCCGGAAAACTCTTAGGGTATAGAGCAYTGAACCAGAAGCTAAGAACCGAGCACGACATTAAAGTACCAAGGCACCTTGTGTATAATGTTATGACAGAATTGGATCCGGAAGGCATGGAAGCTAGAAATTTGAAAAGGAAGAAGAGAAAARCTAAGGGGCATTTCACATCAGAAGGGCCATTATGGGTAATATCACTTGACGGCCACGATAAACTATGRGGATATCAAAATAGTACATTCCCTTTAGGAGTTTATGGGTGTATTGATACTTTCTCAAGGAAGATTCTTTACTTGTTTGTCTGCTATTCAAATTCTGACCCTGTTATAATTGGAAAAATGTATTTGAAATACCTTCACGGTTCTAAAACTCTTCCTAGGCATCTCAGAGTTGACCGAGGAACAGAAACAGGTAAAATGGCCACCATACATGCCTACCTTYTCAACCAGCTTGAAGTTGTGGATGATCCTACAGATGCTATTATTTATGGCCCATCAACTAMTAACAAAATTGAGAGGTGGTGGAGGGACCTACATGAACGTTTGGAGAGATTMTTTAAAGAACAGCTTCTGACCTTGTTMAGAGGGAGAGAYTATGACCCCCACAWTTTTTTWCAKAGACAAATTCTTGCATATGTCTATATTCCAGTTATTCAAAGAGAGTGTGACATCTTTGTCCAAAACTGGAATACACACAGAATTCGTGAGCAAAAAAGTCTAGATCTTCCCACAGGAATTCCTGATCACATATTCTCCTTTCCTGAGCAATATGGGGGACGTAACATGGGTATAACCCTATCAGTGGATCAGATAGAAGATGTTGCCGGTGTTTCTGGTGTAATGGGTGTTGGTCTTTTTGACTTTATGAGTGCTAAAGTAAAGCAAGAATGTTTGCATCACATTCCAGATCCATCTACCATAGAATCTAAAAATGCTATTCATGCATTTRGTTTCTTCAAAACAAATGTAAGCACCTCTTGATATTTGCTATAATCTACGCTATTGTCGGCTGTTCTTTATGACTATAAATATTTAAAGGCCATTGCTAATTACCATAGACAAACCAAGGCTTTTCTCGTTACTTAGATTTTAGACATTAAAATTGTCAACAAGATTTTTGAGGATTGACATCATCTTTTTAAATGAGCGACCTTTATGAATGGTCAGTAATTTTTGTTATTTGAACATTCTACTACTTTKATATTAGTGWAATAAAAACAATACCAGATCATACATGTTGCTACAGTGTAACCAACCCATTATCTGTGAGAAGTTCATGCTTTGTTATAATAAACCATGTTGTTGCTGATGCAACATGAGGACTCTAGTTTGCTATTCAATATATATATATATTATATATATTATAATTTCCACATGGTACCCCAATGAGACATATAAACATTCCTGACAGTATTTTGGGCACTCGTGTTTATTCTTCTTCTGTGCACTATGAATAACAAAGAAAGGGATCAAGTGTGAGGACCAGTGTGAGATATGCCTTTAAATATTTATGTGTTGAAGTTGCTCATTTCATTGAACAAATGATTATTATGGGGTTGTCCCTTTCTAACCACCACCCAGCATGCCATCAGTGCAACATACAATGAGCGAATTGGATATTACATTGTATATATTGCATAAATTGCCCATTAAATGGCTTGACTATAAGAGACAAAAATAATAATTTGTCTATTTTCCTCTCACAGTCAAGCCATTTCATGAGAAATCTATACAAGCTGTAATAACCATTCACTCATTGTTGTAAATTTGGATCGAACAGTATGATCCCAAGCAATTYAATAGCCTATCTGATGCACAACACCAGAGTAAAATAAACTATAATATTGTTTAATTATAAAACAACAATAAGAAATTAAAAAGTTTAACAATAGCAACAGCAGTTATAATGTCAAATGTTTTTGTTTCATGGAACATCTAGTTATAACAACCCTACAACTCTCATTATCCTACCACCAAGTAGACTATGTAACTAAAATACATCCAAGTTTAACATATTACAAAATTTGTTGCAAATATGATCACTCTGAAATTTTTCAATACCCTGAAAAGAGAGATTTCCTGCACAGAAGTAGGTTTCTCTGTTCTCTGACCCATCACCAGCTGCATACAGCTCACTGGTTGCAATCTCTGGATCATACAGGATATATGAAGCTGTGCCTTGTATGTCAAGGACCATGAACTTCTTTTGTGAGAATTGGTAGCTGTAATGTACAAAGCATTGTGCTTTTTCATAAACCTCTTCAACATCATCAGTAGGYGGAGATACACTGACACCATCATTGTTAACAAACTTATGAAAGTCTCCACTGACAAAGTTTTCAAGAGTAGCYGGAACTCCTTTATACATAGTAAAATAAACTTTGTTATATTCAAACGTTTTTCCAAAACWAGATGGTACATCCTTAGAGAAGTGTTTGGCAATGTTTCTACTGACTGAGTGCATTTMCACTTGCTTTCMTGTGTGGTCCTCAGGTGTCATATGCAAGTCTTGCTCAATAACACTTATAGCCTTCTCATTGTATTGTTTCAAGAC